ATTGAGTGGAGATATCCTGTCTTAGAAGGGATATTTCTAGGGATGGATTTCAATCTTACCTGATAATTATTTGTCAATTGTACATAGCAGTATTGATGAGGCTTAGACTCTGTTATTAGGGAAAATACATCATCCAACTTAATGGCAGAAAACTCACATTGTATTTAGTGCTGTGCAAAACTACTGGAGTTAGTTATGTTCTCAGACAGACCCACCTACGGGACACTGATAAGTGAAGAGGAAACTAAAATGCTTTATGAAGACTCCAGGAGGCCGCAAGGAGTGACTACATGTGTTGCATGGAAAGAAAGTCACACTTACAGAGATACTGGAATATAGTATGGTTTGGAAAGAAAGTCTCACCAAAAGACTCATGTGTTGCATATATAGTCCCCAAATGGCGCATACCATCATTAAAACGGAGAGTGGATAATGAACATTCTCGTGTAATCAAATGATCCTTAATTGCACCACATCTTAGTGGCATTATTGGGAGGTCAGGCACAGTTGAAAGAAATAAGTCACTGGGTGGGGAGTACACCTTCCGATGATGCATATTACCCCTTCTCCTCTGTTTACTCTCTAGTTAACCCAAGATGAGCACTTTGTTCTACCACACTTTTCTTCTATGATGTTATAACTTTTCTAGAGGCATGAAGAAATAAAGGCAGGTGTTCATGAATGGGAATTCTGAAACTATGAGCTGCAAAACATTTCTCATCTTTTAAGTTGTTTACCTGAGGCATTCATTGGTTATGATCATGGAAAAATAACATATATCATATCTCTCAAAATTCCATTGAGACACCACAAAGGCCTCATAAATACCAGCGTCTGCCTGCAGAGTCTGATTAACTAGTTCCTAGGGGTTATTAGACATGTACACATGACTTATAGATAGCAGCTAGAGAAAATTGCTGAATTCGGTAAGCCTATATACAGATTTATACATTGCTTCAGTGTGTGCTTAGCCAACAAAAGCCATAGTGGCCCCTACAGAGTCGGGAGGAGGGGGAAGGGTAAGAGTTGTCAAAGGCTTGGACAGCAACTGTGTCAGTATCGATTGCTCTTGCTGGTTGGACTCTGGACAAGTGCTATGTCGTTTTGACCTTTACCCCATAATGGGCAGAAAGCATCAAGTATAACTATAAAGAAACACAAGGTCAGAATTCATTTTCTTCTGAAGACGGGACACATTAGTCAGTCCCATCTAATACTTCAATCTTGCGGACAGCTCAGTGAATACGGTGGATTGAGAAAGAAAGGACCAACACATTGGCAGTTTGGAGTCCAGGGGGACAGTGAAAAGGGATGAAAGCTGTCCTAGCAATATGATCCTTAGGAGATCAGGTTTCTACTGGAGTTTCTTAGAGCTAACACGAGCTGCTCTCCTGACAGGCCTCATTGTGGTTTCTTCCCCCACATACCCAGTCATTTTAAGGAAACTATATGTAATCTAATTATATAAATATAGGTAAAATATTATTTAACTTTACACCCTCTATTTGTATTTACATAGTTAAGATAGATCATCATGCATTTCTGACTGTCAGTGCAAAATGATGACAGTGGCTCATGAGAATACGCAGAGTCACCACATCCTCCTGCTGTGTAACAGCCTGCTTTCTCTAGGAGCTAGAGCAGTACCCTGCCCCACTACACAAACAAATGATTTTTTCTAGACTTTTCTCTACTCCGACGAAGACTGGCTTTATCAATGAATTCCTGTTCCTTCTGTGTCAGCCATGGATAGTAAGGACCGTGTTGGACTAGTATTGAAAGGGTAAGATGAGCAACAGAAGCAGAGATACGAGGACTTGTAGTCAAACTGGGAAACCAGACACAACGTCTTCCTCTTGACTTAAAGTGCTACTTGAACTTAGTACTCCCATGGACCCTGAGAAGATGGATGACCATGGTGTGTTCCTCTTTTGAATTGGGAAAGTCACTTCCATATGGTAGGAAGATACATCCCAGTTTCCAAATTATCTTTAATTTCTCCCTATAGAGGCAGTAATGTATTTTGACCACCAAAATTTTCTACATCATTTTAAGGTATCATTTTATTTTCCTGTTCTCCAGATAGAGGCTGTGTGAAAATTTGCCAACTGCCAGAAGAAGTAGGTGTCACCCTCATAGTATCCCTATGAGTCAAATGGAACTATCACCCCAATTTTGTACATACAAAAGCCCAGTCAAAGAAGGGAAAAGTAACAAACATTTGATTTAAGGTCTGTATCATTTTTATCTCCGTGGTCTTAGCCACTGAACTTTTTACCCCAGCATTGTACAAGTTAGTCTCTGATGACCAACATTTCAACATATGTGCAAATCAATAACTAAAGCTCGGGTATCTCTGTCTCTTAAAATATAGCAGCTAGCGAGTGGTGCTTGGTGAGCGACAGTGAGTGTGTGGAGCTAGTGGAAGGTCATGCACAGTAGTATGAATTTTCACTGTAGCTTTATCCAGCTAATATTTGTCCTTACAATCCTTCCATCTTAATTTTGTAGCCAAACATGGACTCTGGCAATTCATCTAGCCCTGAACTCTGTGAACTTAATTCCCTATATTTTCTTGTGAATTCTGTTTCTTTTATCTCCTTTTGCCTGTCTATCTGCCTGCACATCCCCCCCCCTCTCTCTCTCACACACACACACAGTCTTATAAGTACATATGATTCAATAAGGATGAAACACAAGGTTTGCATACAGATAAGAAAAAAACTGGTGTTCAAAATGTGTACAGTGTAGAACCTTGAGAGTGTGGAATATTTACACATTAGAGTACTACTCAGTGGTAAAAAACAATGACTTCTCGAATTTTGCATGCAAATGGATGGAAATAGAAAACACTATCCTGAGTGAGGTAACCCAGACCCAAAAAGATGAACATGGGATGTACTCACTCATAATTGATTTCTAGCCATAAATAAAGGTCATTGAGTCTATAATTTGATATCCTAAAGAAGCTAAATAAGAAGGTGAACCCAAAGAAAAACATATAGCTATCCTCCTGGTTATGGGAAGTAGACAAGATTGCCGGGCAAAAAATTTGGGATCTTGGGGGTGGGGTAAGGGGAGATGGGGAGAGAAAAGTGAGGAGGGGAGGATGGGGGGAACTTGGGGAAATGAGATGATTGGGATAAAGGAAGGTTGGATAGGGGAGCAGGGAAGCACATATCTTAATCAAGGGAGCCATCTTAGGGTTCGCAAGAGACTTGGACCTAGAGGGGCTCCCAAATGCCCAGGGCGATGTCCCTAGTTAGTTCCTGGGGCAGCTGAGGATAGGGAACCTGAAATGGCCCTATCCTATAGCCATACTGATGAATATCTTGCATATCACCATAGAACCTTCATCTGGCAATGGATGGAGATAGAGACAGAGACCCATACTGGAGCACTGGACTGAGCTCCCAATGTCCTATTGAGGAGCAGAATGAGGGAGAACATGAGAAAAGAAGTCAGGACCACAAGGGGTGCACCCACCCACGGAGACAGTGGGGCTGATCTATTGGGAGCTCACCAAGGCCAGCTGGACTGTGACTGAAAAAGCATGGGATAAAACCGGACTCTGAATATGGCAGACAATGAGGGCTGCTGAGAAGCCAAGGACAATGGCAAGGGGTTTTGATCCTACTTCATGTTCTGGCTTGATGGGAGCCTAGCCAGTTTGGATGTTCACCTTCCTAGACCAGGATGGAGGGGGGAGGACTTTGGACTTTCCACGGGGCAGGGAACCCTGACTGCTCTTCAGACTGGAGAGGGAGGGGTGAGGAAGAGAGGAGTGGGAGGAGGGGAAGGGAAATGGGTGGCTGGGAGGAGGCGGAAATTTTTTTTCTTTCAATAAAAATAAATAAATAAATAAAAGAATGTGTACAGTGACAAGTTTACACTATCTTTAAAGTAATTTAGTTGTATGTATAGTAAAAGTATGAAGAATGAAGTTGATTTAGAGATGGAGGAGAGTTCATTGTGCACACTCCATGTCCTACAAAATTATTAGCTACAAATTATTCTAGACAAAGAGAAACAATGTCTTCAGTTTGTCTTTAGTTGTCTATACAGTGTTGAGTTCACCAAGCTCCAGTGGATAATTTCAAACCCATGATCAAAAATATGTCCTTGACTGAATTCGATGGTCACAAAACAAACAGATGTGATTGTGCAGCAGGAACTTGTATGGGGACAGGGCTGTCACGGGTGGGAAGTGAGAGTGACCAGGATACAGAGTAAATGAGTATGAAGATGTCAAAGAACATGTTTTAAATACTAAGGACCAAAATGCAAAATTAGTTGCATACTCACAAATATCTTTTTAAAGTAACCACGCACAGCTGTAATAGTAAGATGAGGAGAAAGGTTTGGGGAGTAGGTGCCGGCACACCCCACTGGAGGAAACAAATTCCATGGATGTCTTTCGAGGGCACTTTAGCAATAGACATCGAGCATCTTAATCAGTTCCTTGGACACATTTTGCTAATGACCATGGTGACTACAGTGTCTCATTAATTCAGTTTAATTGGGTGAAGAATAAATGGTATAATTTTGCAAGATACTTGCTATAGAGAACAAAATATGAGTATTCCCTAAACCACTAAAAAATTCTAGTAAAAATCATGCAGTTTTCCTTGTCATAAGCTTTTAATTACCTAATACCCTTTGGGGGGCATTTTAAAATTGAAACAAAATTGAGAAGTTTGATCAAACTCTTAAGATTTTTTTAAGGAATCCATTCCTTCTTCACTCATGTTTTTGAATCTTCCTTTAGCTAATAAACCTTACCTCATACATATAGTAAAAGCACACGTTAATTTAATTCTAATAATCAGGCATTTCGGTAAGCACTTGTTTCAATAAGTGCTTCTTCTAGACCATGGGATGCCCCTTGTTTCTGTGCTGTAAATTAAAGAATTCCGGGGTTGTTCCATGAATGGTGATATTGACCACTGGGATATACGGTGACAGGAAGTTATAGGTCATTTTCAATGTTGGGCTCTTACCATCTGCAATGAAGTGCTCAGGCACATGCAAAGTCACCTTCACAGTAAGTGGACAGGACATCTGGTTGCCACACACCATTGCCAAGATGCAGGAACTCACAGCAATCAGTGTCAAGGCTGTCTTGTTCACTGGGCTTTTCAATAAACCTGGAAAAGAAATATACAAAGATATAACTTTATCCGGTGAGCATATGGGGATAGTACAGAGGTAAGTGATCCTATAGTTCTCTAGTGTGGATATTAATCAAGAGGAAAAGGAAAAGAAAAGGGAAAGAGTAAGGGAAGGTTGAAGGGAGGGAGGGGTAAAGAGAGGGAAAGAATAGAGGACATGAAATTGGGATGAGGCTATGTTGTGTAGTACTTGAGAAGATTTAGAGGGAATAATTGGGGGTGGACATTTTTACAAATGCACAAAATCCTCCAGAACAAAGAGAAATTAATAAATAAAATATAAAATGTTATGACAGTGTGCTGGAGACAAACCATGTTTTCCAATCTCTTAGTGGATTTTGACTTAAACATCTGAAAATAGGCTTGCTATTTCTTTTGGGGAAAAATAAAGAAACCAGTTTCTAAAAGTCAGCAATCCTGCCATTCCAATTTAGATGGTGCTGCTGATAATAATAGAGCCTTCAACTTCCTTTAGAAAGTAAGTGAAAGTGGGCAGCCTTACATATAGTTATCCTCCTGGATAATGGAAGTAGACAAGATTGCCAGGCAAATATTGGGACCTCGGGGGTGGGGGTAGGGTGGGGGTAAAGGAAGATGGGGAGAGAAAAGTGAGAAGGGGAGGATGGGGAGAGCTTGGAGGAATGGAATGGTTGGGATGGAGGAAGGGTGGATATGGGGGCAGGGAAGTATATATCTTAATTAAGGGAGCCATTTTAAGATTGACAAGAGACTTGACTTTAGAGGGGTTCCCAGGTGTCCAAGGAGATGTCCAGCTAGTTCCTTGGACAACTGAGGAGTGGGAGCCTGAAATGGCCCTATCCTATAGCCATATCACCATAGAACCTTCACCTGGTGATGGATGGAGATAGAGACAGAGACCCACATTGGAGCAGTGGACTGAGCTCCCAAGGTCCAAATGAGGAGAAGAAGGAAGGAGAACATGAGAGGGAAGTCAGGACCATGAGGGGTGTGCCCACCCACTGAGACGGTGGGGCTGATCTAATGGGAGCTCACCAAGGCCAGCTGGACTGGGACTGATGGAGCATGTGATCAAACCGGACACTGAACGTGGCGGTCAATGAGGGCTGACTGAGAAGACAAGGACAATGGCACTAGGTTTTGATCCTACAGCATGTACTGGCTTTGTGGGAGCCTAGTCTGTTTGGATGCTCACCTTCCTAGACCTGGATGGAGGGGGGGGCCTTGGACTTCCCATGGGGCAGGGAACCCTGACTGCTCTTTGGACTGGAGAGGGTGGGGGTGGGGATAGGGAAGGGGAGGGAAATGGGAGAAGGGGAGGAGGTGGAAATTTTTAGCAAAATTAAAAAAAAATAGTAGTATGCTTATATCATTTAGATATGGGATTTAAGCTTGAAATAAAATTTAGTCTATGTAAACTTAAAAAAAGAAAGTAAGTGAAAATACATTATGTGGTTGCACTTACTAAGAGGTAGCAGAACAAAGCTGATCTTTGAGGGAAGACTATTCTGCATTCAAAATTGAGGCTTACTTCTTAAGTTTTGGATTTAGAATGTTACCAGAAGCCCTATGTATTGCAAGCTTGATTCCACAGTAACCCAGGTTCCAAACTGGGATTCAAAAAAAAAAAAAAAGATTGCTTATAAGTAGCCCATTCTTATCAACAGATAAATGCATTCATTCATGAGTTCATGGTTGGAGGAACTGCTGGCAAGGAGGTGAGGACCTAGGTAGAGGAAATAGAACATGTGGTTGAGACATGTCCTAGAAGGGTATTTTTTTTTTATCTTTGACCCATTCCTCCCCATTCTACTGTTCTCTTTGATTCCCAGTCACAACGAGATCTAGAAACCATGAAACCAAACCTTTAGCCAGGATGAATCTCCCCAACTCTACTTTTATTTTGTTGTGTATTTTGTCAGAGCTATGAAAAGTTGACCCATACATTTCTCATTGGCTACATGAGCTGCTTCATTCTCCAAACCTCTATTTCCTGGTATCCTAGATAGTTTTGTCAACTTACTACAAACTAGAGTCACCTGGGAAGAGGGACCCTCAATTTAAACTTTAAAATTTCCTCCATCAGATCATTTGTTGGGCATTCTTTAGGGATGTTCTCTTGATTGTTTAATATTAGAGAAAGGCATAGCTTACTTTAAGCAGAACCACACATAGACAGGCAGTCTTAGATTGTATAAGGAAGATGGCTGAGCAAACCAGAGGAAGCAAGCCAGTAAACAGCATCCTTTGGTCTTCTTTGCTTCATTTCTAGCCTCCACATTCCTGCATTGAGTTCTTCCCCAGTCTTCCCTTCATGATACACTAACTTATAAGCTGAGACAAACTGTTTCCTCCCCAAGATGTTCTTGGTCATAATTTTATCACAGCAACAGAAAGTAACAAGAATATTTGTCATACATGCTGAGGATAATATTAAATACCTCACAGGACTGCCATAATGATTACATGATGATGCATATATAATATCTGCCATACAGAAACATTTCACAGTCAGAAACTGTTTAGAATGATTCAAATTCACCAGCATGGTCTGAATACTTACTTTGTGAAACTCACATGTCACAGAAAAGAATGGAATATTCCATGACTTTGGATATGACAGAGACAGAAAATTGCTTGCTTTGAGCACAAAGATTTGAGTTTAATTTCTAGAACACATATTTTTAAAAAGTCAGCATGGTGGTTGGTATAGAACTGTGATCCCAGGACTGGGAGAAAGAGAGAGGCAGACTCTTGGGGTTCACTGGCCAGCAAGTTTAGCCTGCAAGGCAAGTTCTAGATTCTAGGACAATGAAAGACCATATCTCATAAATCAAGGTGACAGACCCTGAAGAACAGCTGTGGTTGACTTGTGGCCTTCATATGCATGAGCACATGAGTATGTGTGCATACAGAGACAAGTCCATCTGCACACATATGAACATGTACTTATAATGTCCACCATTGACTATCCACTACTCTTCAGGACTTTATATACACACTAGGAGAAACAGACTTGTCCTCCCCTCATTAGAATCCTAAATAAACTGCATTAAAACCTAGACAGAAGGGCAGAGTGTGTGAAGGAGAATTCTGCATGGGTAAATTAAGTAATTTTATGGAAATAGTGGAAAAAGTTAGATTAGCTCTACATGGCCAGGAGTTTCTTCAGTAAACAAAGACCTGACAACCCCTCTGACCCTCATTCTTTGAGCTTTTCTTTTTGTCTCTTCTTTCAAGGCTTAGATCATTGACTTTACACTGTATTTTTCAAATTTTCTTTACCTCTTCAACTGGGAAATTGTAAATATGTTTGAGGCCATCCACAAGCATGCCAAATACAACTCATTAAAAACAATATATTTTCTCTAAGTTCCCTCTTGTTTGAGACTTTTTCAATACTGAATGTATTACCATTTAGATGACTACAGGCTTAAATGTCATCTCTGGGATTTTATATTCTCTATTTTTATTTTTTTAAATTTTTTTAAAGTTAAGAAATATTTTAAAAAGTTATTTACCACTGTGTACTGACACAGATTTTAATTCAATTTTACTTGTTAGTTTTATTGATCAGGGACACACATTGAGAAAAAAATTAAAGTACTGTTTGATTAAAATTGTTTCAAGGAAATGGTTTAGTGGATTGTACAAAAATGATACTATGAACTGGACTCTGTCCTGAAAACTCATGTAAGGAAGCCCAACCTCAATTACAACTTTACTTGGAAGAAATATTTTAAGTTTAAATGTGAGGGGAAAAAATAGATTAAACAAACTCATAATGCAGTTTTTAAGAGAAAAAAAGCGGGGAAGTGCTGTAGGACAATGGTTTTGTACCCTGTAAAGATTCGACATTTACATAGGTAAAACAAAACACTGATTGGCCAGTAGCCAGGCAGGAAGTATCGGCAAGGAGATCAGAATAGGAGAATTCTGGGAAGAGGAAAGGCTCAGTCTGCAGTCATCACTCAGATGCAGAGAAAGCAAGATGAAAATGCCTCACTGATAAAAGGCACCAAGCCATGTGGCTAACATAGACAAGAAATATGAATTAATTTAAGATGTAAGAGTTAGTTAACATGAAAGCCTGAGCTAATTGGCCAACCAGTTAGTTTATAACTAATTTAGGCCTCTGTGTACTTCTTTGGGACTGAATGGCTGTGGGGCTGGGTAAGATAGAAACTTTTATCAACAAAACTCTTTTAGTTTGGCTTTCTGTTTCTGGGACAAAATATTAAACACAGCAAATTTTTGGTAGGCAAAGGTTTAATCTAGCTTACAATTCCTGACCATGGTCCATAACTAAGGGGAGTCAGCAACCACTTTTTTTTTTTATGACGCTGGTATTTTTAGCCACCCTTCCTCCATTCCTTCTGTTGGCTGCTTGTAGGATGAGAAAGGTGCTGGCATATATGACAACTTACTCTTTGCTGAAACCCCTGGAGCTATTTCATGGCATCTGTTCACAGTATGTGGTCCACATTCATCAACCTGGCATCCACAGCATTCACAAAGACCCTCACATCCAGATCTCATGTGCTTTCTGCTACCTGGCCCAGGTGCTAGTGGAGCTGAATTGCTGACAAACCCTCACATTCAGCATCATCATCATGTTTCCCACATTGTGTATTGTTTCTTCAACTATTATTCCAGCTGTTCTTTTATCCCTATCTCTTGTCATACTTGTTTGAGATTCACAGTAAATGGAATTTCTTCATATTTTCCTCAGTTAATCATGCTAAATATTTCCCACAATAACTTGTTATAAGGCTCATATGTTTGAATACTTGGTCAGCAGTTGGTAAATTGTTTGAAAAAGATTAGAATATTTGGTCTTCTTGGAGGAGGTTTGTCACTAGGCTTTAATGCTTCAACACTCAACAAACTTCTTGAACATCATCCAAGTGCCTAATACAATTTTTGAAACACAGTAGCATTTTAGTACCTACCTACATAATCACTTCCAGCAGTAAAGTAATGTCACAAAACATATT